AATTAGAAGAGATGCCTCCCAATAAAATTATGTTTAAAATAAATAGAAGAAGAGATGTGTATCTTATGTGTGTCCTTTGACCATACTTATCCAATCTGTACACTGAGGAAATAATCCAAAAAACAAGGGACTACGCAAAGAAGAATGGGGCAGCCCGAACGGAGGAAGGCTGTTAAAAATGTGCGCAGATGCCACCGTTTTGCTTACTGAAACCGAGGAGGACAGGAAGCACTTGCTGATGAATAGCAAAGGCAACAGCTTTCAGTATGGATTGCAGTTCAATGTAAAGAAAACAAAATCCTCAAAAGTGGATCAATAAAAAAAAGCCCTGATAAATGGAGAAAAGTTTGAAGTTGTCAAGGATTTTCTCTTTTTCATGCGTTCTCATGGAAGCAGCAGTCAAGGAATCAAATTGCATTGGGCAGATCTGCTGCACAAAACCTTTTCAAAGGGTTACGAAGCAAAAACATCACTCTAAGTACTAAGGCACACTTGACTCCAAAGCCCACGGCCATTGATTGATTATGATTCATAGTGATCCTAGATAAGATTTCCGAGGCTGTAAATCTTTATGGGATCAGATAATCTCATCTTTCTCCCACAGAAAGCCTGGTAGATTTGAACCACTGACCTTTCAGTTTGTAGTCCAATGCTTACTCAAAAAAGCCATGAGGGCTCCTTACTCACTTGACTCATCCATAGTCCTTTTTAGGGCCTCATATGTAGGTGAAAGCCAGACAACAAATAGAGAAAAAGGGAGGGGGAAATGGTGCATTTGAATTAATGGTGTTAGTGAAGAATATTAACCGTATTATGGACTACCAGAACAACAAACCCTTGTCTTGCACCAGCCAGAATGCTCCTATTTGAGTAGGGTGAGATTTTGTCTCCCATACTTTGGGCATGTCATCTGGAGAGACCAGTCCCTTGAAAAGGAGGTTATGCTTGGGATAACAGAAGGTCCGACACAGACCCTCGGCCAGGTGAACTGACTGAAGGGCTGCAATGACAGGCTCAAGCCCATGGCTGTGAGCAGGAGGCAGGAGTGGGCAGTACGCCAGCGTTCTGTCGTCGATAAGGCCGCCAGGAGAAAAGGCAGCCTCGATGCCTCTAGAGTTCACCTCTTTTTCTCTCCGAATCCGCCTGTCTCTCCAACTTTCTATGTAACGGTTGGCTCTGTGGCCTCAGCTCTTCGATGTGTCCCTGGTAGCGCTGTCATCACTCTGGC